ATCCATCAACATTCCACACACACGCCCATCGATGGCGGACACGCGAAATGCCGTGCCCACTTCCCCATCTGGCGTACCCAATCCTTTGTACAACACAGGCAGCACGGGGTACACCTCCGAGATCGAACTCCTCTGTAGTCTGCACGATTCACGCAAGCACACAGCAGTCGTGTTCGCCGTTTTGACCATACAATATACATTCATGTCTGCTCCAAGTGGTCCTTATCCAGTTTCAACTACCTCGTTTATCACCAAAGCCCCATTCCCTATCAATAATTTAATCAATCCATATGCAGAGTCTCTGCTCAGGGTGACATTAAATTATGTGTCTGCAACTAAATTTGCGGATAACTGAATAATTTTCGATCAAGAATTTGTGTTTGAATCGGATTGGTGAAAAAAATGAGAGAGCTAAGGCCATTGGTGCACCTTCTGTTGCCTCTGTGTGTCCATTGGGTTGCTGAAGAAATGACTGTTTCAGTTCTAGTCGACGTCACCACTAATGCTCTTTGCCCGGGACAGAACACTTGCCCTCAAGCAATCTATATTAATGGCATCCAGCAAACTGTGAGTCTTTACATTAAAAGGTTGATATTGTAGAAGTTTAACGTTTTCTGGACCTGAATTTGATCCTTCATTCTTAGTTTCTTCTTGAATTTGGGGACTTGTTTGTGTAAACTACGGTATGGCTATATTTTACTTTTGATGACAGCTGATTTTGTCGTTTTTCAATTTTTTTTGGATTTACTTGGATAAATGACTTGAGTTTTTTGGATGTATTTTAAAGCTTCAAGTGAAATGAGTGAATGCGAGTTTGTAATATCCTTGTGCCGTTCAGGGCTCCCTGTGTTGATTCATATAGTTGATTAAGAAAATTTGTAGAAAATTAGTTTTTTATTGTGGGGGTGCTCACTTCTGGGTTAAGGACTATTAAATCCCCACTTTTATTTGTATCCTAGTTTTCATAAGCTTATTCAATATTAGGATTGATATTGTGACATGTAGATTAGGAGGCACCCTCCCAGCTTGTGTGTTTTTACTTAAATAAATTTTAATCATTTTAAAGTTCACTTGAACTACTTGTTTTGAGGATTGTTGTAAGGCTCTTATGATTAATCCCCTATTACCTCACTACTTAGAAGAGTGATAAACATGTCAAATACACTTTAATGTAATACCACAATCCTCTGGGGCTGTTGCATTCGGAACTCTATTGGCGAAGCTCAAAACTATACTTTATTGTAATGGTGAAATTGTCTACATAATTTAATCATCATCATATTTTTCCCGGATGCTCACTCTCAAGCTGTACCCTGCGGCTGTGGTTACAGGTAGTCGGCATATTCAAGATGATAGTTCTTCCACTTTTGGGTCAGTTGGCGGATGAATATGGACGAAAACCGTTGCTTCTTATCACTGTATCCACCACAATTGTTCCTTTCAGTATGTTTCGATAGACGGGCTCTATTCTTTGCACGAACTTTATGATTATGTTTTTAATCTTTTCATTGTTCGTATGATATCTCAGAATTGTTTAATAATTGATGTTTTCCTGATTGTGGAAATCCAAGTATTGGGGAGTGAAATATGCTTTTTGTATCATGAGTTCTGAAAATCAGTAATGAAGTTTTGAGACTGAAAGATAAATTGTTTCCAGTTAAGAGAACATCAGTCTAGTATGATCGTTAGATCTCATATAGAGAAAGATGCTCCTATTTACAGCCTTTCTTGAATTGAACCAGCTAGAGCCAAATGTGACGCTTAGAATAAAGGATTAAGCACACCAAATATCAGTAATTCAACTTGATATATAGTTATATATATTAGGTGATTAAACCATTTGTTATCTCACTTACTCATGGTATTTATTTATCCCCTCATATTCACTTAAGATAAACTAGCAACTTGAAAGATGATAATGACTGAATATCATACGCCATCAACTTTAGCCTTACTAGTATTGTAATACTTTGTTTTTAATTACTGGGATCACATTTTCTTTTTCCTGAAGTATTGTTTTACTTTCCAGCTTTACTTGCCATTGATCAATCAAAAGGATCTGTGTATGCTTATTATGCTATCCGGACCATTTCCTATATCATAAGCCAAGGGAGCATCTTTTGCATTTCTGTTGCTTATGCTGTAAGTTAATTCAGTGTTGTTACCACTGTTCCCAAACTGGGGCATAAAGATTCAATTTGCAAATTATTTGCCTCCTTTCAGGCAGATGTTATTGATGACAGTAAAAGGGCTGCTGCCTTTAGTTGGATCACAGGCCTTTTCTCAGCTTCACATGTTGTAGGTAATGCCCTAGCGCGTTTTCTTCCTGAAGGATACATATTTGAGGTATGCTTGTGTTGTCATCTTTTCTCCATATGTTTTTCTGTTCTTTTCTATCTCATTCATATAACTAGTTCTGAATTTCAGGTGTCAATAGCTCTATTGATCTTTGTCCCTGTTTATATGGCACTTTTTCTGAAAGAAACAGTGGGACCAACTCAAAAATCAGACCAGCACATCTCTGTCTTTAATAAGGCATTGGATATTGTTAAAGGACGATATTATGCAATGAAGTATGCTGTGCATGTTGTTACCAGCAGGTATATGTAGATGCTTTACATTATCTAGGAAATGTCTTATAATTTTTGTGTATCTACCATAGAAAATTACTATTAAATTTATGCAAGCTTAGCTCCTAATAAAAAAATTCCTTACCAATATTCTCACCAGCTTAGTTTATAATATGTTTTTTTTCTTATTGTTGTCTCAGTTCAACGCTTAAGCGCATTTCTCTTGTTTCCTTCTTCTATGAATTGGGGATGTCTGGCATCAGCAGCGTCCTATTGGTATGTCTCGAACAAGTACATAAAGAATTAAATGATATTTATGGCATAATTCACTGAACTTAGCAAATGTTTCTTTGTAACACATTCACTTTTTATTTCACTCTGCAAATACAAACCTTTATTTTATAATACAAAACAGTATCCTTTTAATATAAGCGTGGAGAATATGTATGGAAATGGATTTGAAACCCCAACCTCCTCTCTACTAGAGAAAACCTTTTATTCCCTCCTTGCATGAATTGATTCGGGAACATTTGTTAACTGTCTTCTCATAAAGAATCTTAAAACCTCAATGTGTGCAGCAGCAGTGCTGCAACTATGGTTTTAAGGTTAAAAATCTGCATTAAGTGCATCCTAACACTTTGGTGTTTTTGTAAGAATGATATTATTATAAAATCAGCGGAAGTTTGTGATCTAAGTTGTTGGCATATGTGTAAATCTTCTTTAACTGGCTTATACAACCTTGCAGTACTACTTGAAATCAGTTTTTGGTTTCAACAAAAATCAGTTGTCAGAAATCTTGATGATGGTGGGGGTTGGCTCAATTTTTTCTCAGGTACTTGAATATACTATCCCAAGATTTGTTTTGATACTTCATTCCGAAACTTTTTAAAAGAACAAAAATCTATCTTATCATCTTTTCTACTGTCTCGACCCTTTGTAT